CACACACTCACACACTCAGACACACTCACACACACTCACACACACACACACTCACACACACTCACACACACACACACACACTCACTCACACTCACACACACTCACTCACACTCACACACACTCACTCACACTCACACACACTCACTCTCACACACACTCACTCACACTCACTCTCACACACACTCACTCACATTGACAGCGATTCAGACTGAAGCGGTCAAAGAGAAGCTGGCCTGGGGGGAGCTCGAACGCGACTCCGCTAAAACAGCTAGGTTGAAAGCCGGAAGAGCAGGAAGACATTCGAATGCGAAGATCGACACGGGGAGTATTAGTATTTGGAGGAAAATTTTGCAACGGGAAGCTTCTCTTTCGGGCGACGGACTGTCCGAGAACCGCACGCAATCTGCTGTTCGACCCGATGGAAATGTGGCTTCACGACTTCTGCCTAGTACGCAACATTGCGGCAACAATGCTCAACTGCACACGACGAGACCTCTCTCTCACACTCAGCAAGTAAATTGAGCGCATGATTTTGCCGCTACTCGATACCGCACAGAAACTTTGACCAAAAAAACGAGAAGATGCGGCGAAAAGGCAACCAGTTTCAGGTGCAGACCAGGCAGGCTCGTCAACAACAGCTACGCCAGCAACACCAGCAACACCAGCAACACCAGCAACACCAGCAACACAAGCACGATATAGACATACGTTGACAGCGACTGGGAAGCGGTCAAAGCAAACATGGAGTGCAGAGAGGGTAAAGGAGAGAGTTTCGAACTGGTGGAGGGAGAAAACGAAAAACAAACACGAGGAAGAGAAAGCCGGAGGCGTGCCGGGTACGGGGGAATTCGACAACGGACGCACGGAAGCTTCTCTTTCATGCCGCAATCGAAGAAAACACCACACGATCTTCCGCGTCGGTGACAGTTTGCACACGTCGACACCTGAGCAACTCAATTTCTGGGTGCACGACGGAAGCTTCGCTCGAAGGAAGCTAGGTAATCTACACTGCACACGAAGGAAGCCATATTGCACATGAGGGAAGCTTCAGTGCTGCATACTACGGAAGCAGTTAATTTCCAATAATACAGGAGATTCCCGGCAACGATAAGCAGTTCACCACAGGACTTCGAGAATCTTTACACCTCTGCTCTCGATGCCGGACAACCTCCTTTCATTGTACGTACAGCCAGTTGGACCTTCCGACCCCATCCAGTCTCTCCTGTTGGACCTTAGGGCCATCAGCTCTGAAACGTCTTTAAACTGCTTCACAGACACGCAGCACCAATTATACAAACAACGGCGAACGGAACACAGACACAAAAAGCGAACCAAACAGCGGAGAGCGAAAGGGGAGGTGGGGAGCGAGAGACGGACTGACAGACAAACCCCCCTCCTCGACTGTAAAGGAACACAGTGCGACTTCTTGCTCACGTAGGCCAAGATTAACTGCCGATTCGCGTCTGCCTATTCTTTTCTATCGGCATCACATCCATCCTTGGTAGTTCTCTTTGCAAATCTTGCGGAAAGAGATAACCTAAACTGAGAAAAAAGATTCCAAAGAGAACGAGGGCCTTAATGTAGTCAATGCCACGGAAAGGCGAGGCAGACAAGGAAGAAGAAAACCAGACGCAGGAGAATGCCGGGAAGACATGGGAGAACATAAGAAAGAAGGCAGATATGGCTGCGGAAGTGCGAAGACAAGCAATAGGAAAAGGACGTAGCGAAAGGACGGAACAAAAAACGACTGAGGTATTGCTGAAGCGAGTACACAGAGCCACTGCTCTCCACGTACCTTGCTCCGACAGGACACAATCGTAATCTCCTCCCCGTACGGTTGCGAGCGAACGTTTGACCTGGGAGACGAGCACGATCTCTTTTATTCCGTCATCACATGCGCCATCTCCTTCGCTACAACACCCGCAACTCGGAACTGCCTGCCGCCAAGTGCTATACTCCCAGTTGCAGGAGCTGACGTGCAGTGCTCTCCTGTTTGGCTTTTTTTTTCTTTCTTTCTTTCCTTTTTTTCTTTTCTTTTCTTTTTTCCCTTCTTTTGTTTTTTTGTATATACATGTATACACGTCTGCGCTTCATTGATCAGAACAGGGGTAAGCGCACCTGCCCGATAAAGGGTCCGAACCTTCCCGCGATGGCTCCAGACTACCCGAGAGGAGCGTCACGTGCTGGTAACTGGGGCCAGCGCGTATACCCCTTTCAACACCATGTCAGTATAAGGGCATACACAGAATTGGACTTTCTGTGCTTATTTCTGGACCGGATTACTGCTAGATTCATCCAGTTCGGGCTGCGATTGGAACCAGATACATTTAGCAAATTGCCAGTGTGAGTGAGTATGCCCTAGGAGACATGTTGATTGCCCTCCCCGCCTTCGATGCACTCGTTTTCATTTCGTTGTCTGTTCCTTGCGGCGAGACCAGTACTGCACTGCACACTGCACGTCTACTGGCGCCTCCCTGATTGGTTGTGTCCGTGCCTTCCCGCGCGATTCCCTGCCTGGTTGTGTCCGTGCCTTCCCGCGCGTAGTATCCACTGGCACTTTCGTTGGGATTTACGATCAGGGAATACTGATTGAATATCTAGGATTGTCGCCCGGGGCCAAGTCCCACTAGCAGCGTTGAGCTACCTCAACGCCTGAACCTGACGTCTTTGTGGAGACGTGCAGTTCAGGAAACTCAACACTATTTCTGCACGTCTCCGCAAAAACGTCCAGATTCAGGCGTTGTGGTATCTCACCGCTGCTAGTGGGACTTTGCCCCCGGCTATGAGCAACAAAAGGAAACCAACCTCTGCCGCGCTCCGCTGCTCGCCAAGTGGCATTTTGAGTTTGAGACCTGAAAAATGGGCGGGGGCGTCGAAAAAGACAAAGCCCTCGATGGCCCCGAGGTATCATTATGAAGCTGACCGACCGCAGGTAATTCGCAGTTGCAGTGCCCCCCGCCACTCACCAAATGCACAACCTACAAAAACTTCTACGGTGTACCTTTCCATCTTCGTCTAGCAGATTCGTTCTCATTTGCTGAGTGGTGTGGTAAGGGCCGCATTCATCTAACGAGGGCCTCGCCGCTCCACTTTTGCCGTACTTCAACATGTTTAATGTGTCCGGACACTATTCGGTCCCTATACACTCAGAATGTGAAAAAACAAAAAGCTAAAAATAATGTTAGCCTTTGGCGAGTGCTGCAGCCAGGCCGCTCGGTTACAGCCTTACAGAGGCTGGGTGATGGCGGAGATGCAGGGATGGCATGTCATTTTGTTCGATCCCGCAGTGTACTACTGTATATAAATCAATGGCGGTGCGGACGATCAGACTACAGTAGAGTCGAATCGGAAGAGTGCGTCTCCATAGAACTGGAGAAGACCTGTGAGCCACCTCCACCATCTTAAGTTTGCCTTACTTAATCTTCTCTCCCCAAGCTCGATCCTCTGCCGTCTCTCTGCCTCCCGCTCCCGCTCCCGTTCCCGCGCACGCTCGCTCTAGCTAGCTCTCGACGTAGGTAGACGATGGCGCGCCCGAGCACTAGTGTGTTGCTGGCCATCGGCCTGGTTTGCATTGCCCTCTGCGCCGCGATCCCATCCGTCCATGGTCTCCGCAGGCTGACATCGGGTTGTGGCGGTTGTCCGTCGTCCTGCGACACGGCGCTGAAGGGCTGCGATTTCTACTTCTATGGTCACCAGAACAACGTGCCCAAAATCAAGCTCGTCCGTAAGGGAGACAATACCATCTACGTCCAATGCGGCCATATTCTGCACCGAGATGGGTAGGACATCCCCTTTCCTCAACACCATCAATAAAAAAATACAATCTCGTTGGTCGTTTCTTTCGTTCACCCTGTTCGTCTTTTCCTTTATTGTTTTTTCTGTTGGTTTCCTGTCGAATACTGTTGATTCTTGCTTTGGTTCATCCTCTGTTGCTCCGCTCGTGGGGCATACTCACACTGGGGCCTTCTCCGACTCGGCTATGATCGTGATTGCTCTTTCTTTCTTTCCTTTCCTCTGGGGCCTCGCCGCACCACTTTCGACATTTGGCGGCTGCATCTGGCCATGCTCTATCAGGAAGTTCATTCTCATTTTGCACATTTCGGGAGTGGTGTGGCGATGCCCTTGCTCCGCTCTTAGGGCATACTCACACTGTGGATTTTTCGACTCAGCTCTGATTGTGATTGCATGCACATGAATCCCCGTTCATCCGTGATTGCGTCAGTTACATTTATAAAAGTGCCGGTGTGAGTGCGCATTTAGGTCGTTCTGGCTTTCCTTCGCTCTGCCCTCTTTTTTTTTTTTTTGTCAAGTGGTCCGATAGACATGTTTTTGACAATATTAAACTGATCAGAACAGAATCAATGGATACTACACTTGATTTATTTTCGGCCAAAAGGCCGAGAAAGGTATTCCTTCGTTCTCTTGTCCGAGACTTAACGTATTCTTTCTTCGGTCGACCGTCTGTTGCCCTGCTCTTAGGTCGATCTGGCTATCCTTCGTTTTTTATCACGGAGCAGACAGTCAGTCTTGGCTATGCCATCCTTCACCGTATTGGCCCGACTAGAAGGCCAGGTAAATGTAACTGTATTAAGGTCAACTTGCATGGCCAGATGCAGGGATAACGACGGCGCGTTCTGTTCAGGTGAAGACGGTAGTCGAGACGCTTGTAGAATTGTCCTCCTTTTTTTTGAGGTTGATTTCCGTGTAACGTTCCATCCTACCATACAAATGCTGGGCAGTGGCAGTGCTCCGATCAAATACGAGCCGATTTAGACAAATGTACTTCCCCACTTCGTCAGGTTTCGAAGCATACATATCTGGAGGTGTTTGCTTTGTCTGTTTAATTTGCACCTTTCCTCGGACCTCGATGTTCGCGTGTCAGTCTTGACCGGGGCCGTGCTAATCTTCTATGCATCGCTCCAGTTTCGACCGATGTCGGTCTTGTCTACCATAAGTGTGTTCTGCAGTTTTTACACGGATCTGATGTGTACTAGGTGAGCCGCTTCACGAGAGAGGTGCTTCGGGGAGGCTGATCCTGCGGGCCGGCTGTGGACGTCACCCTCCCCCAACTTCAACTTTTTCTGTCCGCGCGACCACGCACCCCGTCCCTCGTCCCAGCCCTCTCGTTTTGGTTGATCAATCTCAGGCTCGACATGGCCGGTCCGAGCCGTTATGATATGTCAGCTGCAGAGTGATTCAAGACATGATATGATAAGATAAGCTGAGCTCCCCACCCAATACCTTGATTGAAAGCTTTTGCGGTGCTTATGCTTATGACGAGTGGGATGTGTGGTGGTTGACTCCTCGACTCCGATGTGCAGGTACGACACTCGCCCTGTGAAGGTTGTGAACTCGGCCAACTGCGCGATTCTCCAGGGGCAGACGTGGAACACGAATGCGTGCCAGCATCGGCTGTACGGCAATGGCAGGCACCTCGCCTCTCGCGAGTTCAACGTCGGCAATCCCAACGACTTCCTGAACGCGTGCATCAAGGTCCAGATCAGCGCGGCGCAGTACGAGGACGGGGGCAACTTCAACAACGGTCACAAGAACCCTAGGGCCTGTATCGTGGTGAAGACAGACAAGACCTTCGGGTAACTGTGGTGGATCGGCCGAGACTCGACAGAAGAGTGATTAGTTACGCAAATCATACTCTAGAAGACGCTTCCAAAGAAGGGAAGCAAAAAAAAACTAGAAGACCTGTAGATAGGGTAGGGTAGGGTAACGAATAGTCTCGGCAGGCATGTACGCGAGGACACACACGTACGACCCCGCAGCAGGAGGTTGGTAGAACTCACGCATGAATGGTGAATTATATAGTAAGCGCACGATTACTAGAGTAGATGGACAGTGGTCTTGAAAATCGCACGATTCATGTCACGGGGGAAAAGCTGTATATACACATTCTTAGATATATTAAGGACATTGCACCACAGTCACCACTTTTCACCGGTTGCTGGTACGGTTTTAGATAGTTAGTGAGAGAGAGAGAGAGAGAGAGAGAGAACTGAATAGTGTTAAGGTGAGGAAGAACTGCTCTTGCAAATGATTTCTAAATATGTAGTCAGAAGTTGAGAAGTATGGAAGCAAGGAGAAGATTTCTACTCGTGGTTTAGATTTTCGTAGGATCCTCCTCTTCCTAAATTATCATCGTGCATTTGACTTCATACTTGGCAATATCCGACGATCTGCAGTCGAAACAGGTTTCTTCACGGGTATTTAAACTCAGCATTTTGAAGTTTTCAGTCTGTTCTCTCTCTCTCTCTCTCTCTCTCTCTCTCTCTCTCTCTCTCTCTCTCTCTCTCGTTTTATTTATTTATTTATTTCTTACATTCACGCCACTCTGTGACACATGCACACACACACACACAAACAATCACGGATTGTGTTTGTATGCCTTCTATTATAATCTTCGAGCGGCAGCTGTTCTTTTAGGATGGAGTAAGAATGATTCTCTGACACTGCGTATTCTGCTTTTCCGTAGCAGTGTGAAAAATGAGTGGTGGGAATTGTGGCGTCCGGAGCTGAACGTCTGAATATTCTCGACCAGTGCCGTACGTTCACGGGGTCTGTGAACGGAGTTCACGGAGTTCACGACACGGGAGTTCATGGAGTTCACAGAGAGCGGTATATTTTTTTTGTTTTTTTTTTTTGGCTGGGGGGGTATGTTGTTCTTTTTATAGGAGGGTGGGGGACATCGAAGGGTAACTCCCTATAATTTTTTCAATTTTTCTTGTTCACGAATAATATATTTTTTTAATTAAAAACGAAAAAAAAAAAATCAACCAGCCAAAATAAGCATTTTCTTTTGCTATTTTGTAGGTCATTTCGATTTTTGATTTTTTTTTCAATGTCAGCACGCTGTGGGGCTTGAGGCGAATGTGCCTGGGGCCTCGTCCCACTAGCGAGTATTCTACGATGGAGCTTATGCTTTCGATCACGTGCGGAGGCGGTGGACAGCCATAGACCGCACATCTCACGTCGGATCTACGGGCACGGCCGACGCGGTGTGTGGTACTGCCCATGACAAACGTTCGACCAATGAGAACGCTGCCACTAGATTTTTATTTCTTTTTAGGATTTTTTTCTTTCTTTTAAGGACTCGATGTCGGTCTGGATTTCCAGACTTTTTTTGGGGGGGGGCATTTTCAAGACTTCGACGAGTTGTCTAATGCTGCTTCGGATGCAACATAAAAAAAACAAATCTATGTAGTTAGATTCTCTCCGCCACGTATGGCGGTTTTTTTGGAGTTCCGTACGTGACAGTGTACGAACTGCTCTTCGTGTATATGACCGCTATAACGGTGTGCATGCACCACCGACGTGGTGTCTGCGGTCTCGTTGGTCGTCCACGTGAATGCATGCATGGTTGTTATTGAAGCCATGTGGAAACACTTAACGGTCCATTGCCGATGGGCGTCGCAGCACTACTTTCCACTGCACCCCGCCCGCGAATTAATCTTCTACGACAACATGGACCGATGCACCCGTGGTCTATTGCTGAGCCTACCGGTCCGTTGGCGATGGGCGTCCAGTCACTGCTCCCCACTGCACTTCGGCGCCTCAATGAATGAATCTTGTGCGTGAACATGGGAATATGCACCGCCAACCTTCCGTGGCAAATTTCGTGTGAGGGAGTGCAGTGTTATGCCCTCAGTGACCCGCCGGTATGCCGAAGGACGTCCAGCTAGCGGAGGACGGTAAGTTGTTGTACGGAGAGGACGGTGCATCTTTATGGCCTTCGCGAGCCTGCAGCATTCTGCCCGCGGTGCTGTGCGATGGGCGCTTCTTTTCATTTCAGTGCGTGTCGTCGCTTCGTTGCCAGTCACGTGCCTTCCCATAGTTGTCCATTCGTCTTCTTGTGGACTTGCCATTTTAAGTGAGGGCGTGTATCTTGTCGGGTTGTGACGTCAGGCCATGGCTGGGGGTGATCCTGCGGGACTGTCGTGCATACCCGATTGGGGCTATGCGGACTCATCGTACGTATGTTCTGCTGTGGGAGCAGGTGATGTGCATGGTGAGGGTCAGCGGCTGACCACTTCGCCAGCAGGTGATGTGAATGCAAGGGCCTTCGGGGGTGAGTCCCAGCGCGAGGACACATTGGGCACACCCTTTCCCAAAGAAGCGGTTTTTAGTGAAGAACAGCATGGTGGGACCCAAGGCGCACCGAATTGTCACGCAGCAGTGAATCAGCCGTTTGTGGACAGCCATGAGTCTGCGATGACGTGTGGGGAATTGGGGGGAAAAGAGTGGGGAATTGGGTGAAGAAGCGCAGGGATTGGGGGGAAGAAGCGAGGGGACTGGGGGAAGAAACGTGGGGAATGGGGGAAAGAAGGTGGGGATTGGGGGATGTTGCCTCGAGTGAAGATGACTACATGTCTGCTAAGGGAGAGAAACTCTGTTCGTGTGCTATATACGCGTAGGGTCTACTCGCAGCAGAGGCTTTCCTGGATGTACCTGACCGCTATTACTCCCAGATACAGTGAAGTACTCCCAAGTGCGAGTAGACCTTTCGGGGCGAAGGGTGGAGGGAGTGTTGAGAGGGTTCGGTACCTGTGCATTCACTGCCCTGTTGCACTGTCTGTGTGCTTGTGTGATAGATGATGGAGAGGTTGAAGGTTTGACGAAGCGTGGGAGGGTATGTTTGGCCATGAGGGCCATGGGAGGGAGGGAAATACCGCCGACATTACCTATGGAGAGTTTCAACTACGGTGAGTAAGTAGGTGGTGTCTTCGGGAAGAAGGGTGGAAGTCATGGTGAGTGCGCGGTTTGTATGATCGAAAGGGAACTCGTGTGTTTGTGTGGTTGGGAAGAGCCAGGAGGAAGGAGACGGAGGGGAGGGTGATTCCGTTTTTCTTCTTCTTCGTACTCCAGTCTGTTCTTTCCTGTGGTTGGGCACCGGTCATTCCTGTCACCGACTGTTCCTTCACATCCCTCATCTGGTCCTCCTCCTCCTCCTATTCCCTGTCCCTTTCTTGTTTCTGCTATTTGTTCGTGCTCTTCCTGTTTGCGTCCTACCTTCCACGTGGCATTTAGCACAATCTATTGGATCACCAATCGATGGACCCCGCACCTCCCACGTGGCGCCGTAGTCCAAGATCGTCTCGTGAGGATGTGTCGATCTTGCCCGAAAACCACAACATTTCTTCTGGATTCTCGCGTGGGTTGCTGTCGCCGGAATCGAACCGGCCACCACGACCAAAGTAGTTGCTCGAGATCGGGAACGTGCAGCAAAGCATATGAAAACAGCGGCGAATGGCACTCGGACTAGTAGAGATGGTGATACTCATGGCAGCCACTTTCAGCACACGTGGTAAAGTTCGCGGGTCGTGGAATAGGCTGGACTGGGGAGACAGACTCCACACACGGAGAGAGAGAGAGAGAGAGAGAGAGAGAGAGAGAGAGAGAGAGAGAGAGAGAGAGAGAGAGAGAGAGAGAGGTGCAAGGGTGGGGTTAGGAGTGAAGTAGAGGGGTAGAAGTGGGAGAGAGGCAGAGGGCTAAAAGCGGGAACGAATTGGAGGGGTCGAAGTAGTACAGATTGAGGTGAGCAGTGTGTTGAAGCAGCACTGCTGAAATGGTCCACACCGGCCAAGTATGAAGGCAGCTTGTCGATGATGATGAAGGTCCTCCGGGCTTTTTATTGAAATCACATGGTGATGATGATGATGGTGATGATGATGATGATAACGATGATGATGGCGATGATGATGATGATGATGACGACACGTGTCTTTGGATGATGACGATGATGATGATGATGATGATGATGATGATGTGCGCGTCTTTGACGATGACGATGACGATGACGACACGTGTCTTTGGATCTGCAAACAACGACGCGAAAGCTGTCCCCGTACGTTGTCCGCTATTCGTGGCACTGGTTGTGGCGCACCCTGTTTTACAAAAAAAAAACAAAAAGAACAGCTGCAGAATGCACGCGTACGTTTTCCGCAATTCGTGGCAGTGGATGTGGCGCACCCTGTTTTACAGAAGAAAAAAAAAAGGACAGCTGCAAAATGCACGTTTTTGGCTTCGCCACAACCGACTGTGAAGGTCTGCGATGGACATCCGTTATAATTGTGCGTGTCATCTGCTGCCAGGAAAGCGCCACAGCCATAGACATCTGTCATCATCATCATCATCATCGAAGGAGAAGAAACGTGTCATCATCATCACTATCGAATGCGACACGTTTCATCATGAACTTTCAGTCCCGGCCAATCAATCGGTCGAACACACCGGAAATATTCAGAGAGAGAGAGAGAGAGAGAGAGAGAGAGAGAGATGGAGAGAGAGAGAGAGAGAGAGAGAGAGAGAGAGAGAGAGAGAGAGAGAGAGAGAGAGAG